GGGGTCGTTCGGGTGGCAGTCCACTTGGCAAGTCGTCCGGGAAAATCTCAGGATATTCCCGAATGATTTTCGCCTAGTCGTCCGGGACCGAAGCACAGAGTTTGTTGATGTCGGTCGTCTCGTTCTGCTCCGTCGATTCGGTTAGATGGACTGCGTATAAATCTGCTCCATTCTTGACTGCTCGGTTGAGGCACACCGCGTTGACTCGTGTCGACGTTGTCTCTGCTTCCAGCCAGGTGGGTAATTTTCGCCAGCCTTTGTCGCACTTCACTGTGCACTCGCCTGTTGCCCAATCGATCTGCGGGTTGAATTATCGCAGCCAATCGCGTCCCAATAGCACGTCGTAGCCGTCGAGCGTTGTCGCCAGCATCGGCGCGCTGAACCCAAAATCTTCGCCACACTTCATTCGAACGACGGGTACTTTGTCGCGTATCGCCAAGGGGGTGCCATCCACCAATCGTGCGTCAATTTTGGGCAGACACCTCTCCAGCGACAGGTGTAGTCGTCATGTTGTCTCTCGATTTATCCGGCTGTAACTCGCACCTCCGTCGATGAATATTTTTATTTTTCTTCCGTCGAGTCGTCCCTCCACCAGTACAGGGTGGTCCACTGGGTCATCCCCCTTATTCAGCCGGGAGCGGTTGATAGCATGTATCGGAACCACTACTCGGTGGGGATGGTGTTTTTCGGGCGATGAGGCAGGGTCAGTAGGGGGCCCGACCGCTACTGACGCTTGGCGTTTCCCGACCTGCCTTCGTCGTTCTTCTTTATCTGCTTCTTTCGGGGGCAATCGTGAGATTGGTGACCCGGCTCGTGGCAGTTGAAACATTGTCCCTTGCGAAAGTCTTCCATGTGCTCCCTCGCCACTACGCCGTGAATCGTGGGCCGTGGATTCTGGCCACGAGAACGATTTCCCTCCCGGGAACCCGCTCTTGCATACGTCCGATGTGCGTCGAAAGTGTCTGCAATCCGGACTGCTTCGTGAAACGTCGCCGGAAGTCGCAGTCCGACCTCGCATTTAATGTCCTTCTTCAGACCCGAAATGAATCGGGCCTTCTTCTCGGAGTCATGCATGTCGGTGATTTGATCGCATAACGCCATGAAGACCGACGCGTAATCTTGGACAGAACTCCACTGGCGCCAATTGTCCAGCTTCGTGCGTGCATTGTCCGAGGCGGATATTGGCTCGAACCGTTCGCGCAGAGCTGTACCCCACGCCTTCCACGTGCGAATCTTGGTCGATAAAAAAATCGCGGTTGACCCTTGGGCAGCAGACCCAAAGTTTCCAAAAAACCCCTGTGTGTCGCCTGCCGAAAACCCCCCCTCCTGTAGTGTATACAGTGACGGAATAAACTGTATCCAATGTTGGGCTTGTTATCAAATAACTCGTTTTTAACCATGTTGGAAGTATGTAGCTGACCACAAAGTGTTGGTGACATCAAATGTGGGTGGTTTAGGGTAATGAAAAATGTATTGGTAGTTGCTAATATTGAATCAGCACTAACGAGTACACAAAAAAGCCACGATGGTCCATGCGGACACTTACTTCCTGCTGAGACTCTAGAACCATTTCGACCTTGCATTTCACCCTCGGTATTGGATAGGCATCAACATCTAGCCCACATCGCGACTAGATCCTAAGCAAGTATCAGAGTAGGATGCGCCCTATCAAGTCGCGCATTAGAGAGAGAATTACGACCCTATTGCGCCAGGGTCAAGCATTCGTAAAATCCCTTGCACGTTAGACTTAGGCAAGAGTACAGTTCAGAAATATGCGGAGTTGGCATGTCATCGCGACGGTCGCCTAGCTGTTAGACTGACTGCCCCTCAAAACGGTCGGCCAAGCCTGCTCTCCGTGCAGATGCGACGGAGGCTTGTGCGTGCCGTGACTTCTGGCGCCGCGAAAACGAGTGTAGAGGTGGCTAAGCAACTCGAGTCGGAGCTGGACATCAAGGTGTGCCCGCGAACGGTTCGAAACGCGCTGAAGCAGTCCGGCCTCGTTGCTGTACAGCAACCGAAGAAACCACGACTCTCAGCGCGGAACATTCGGGACAGATTGGAATTCACACGGGCCCACCTGGATTGGACGATCGAAGACTGGAAGCGGGTAATCTGGTCTGACGAGACCAAAATCAACCGCTTCTGCAGTGATGGCCGCACCTATGCATGGATCTGTGATGGCACGGCCCTTCAAGGGCATCAGGTAAAACAGTATATGAAGCATGGGGGCGGATCCGTAATGGTATGGGGCTGTATGTCCTATGGTTGGCCCGGGTTCATGTGTAAAATTGAGGGGCGCATGGATGGGCAGCTGTACCGTTCGATCCTGCAGGACGAGCTCTCTCAAACGATCGATTATTACTCTTTGACTGCATCTGATGTGATTTTCCAGCATGATAATGATCCAAAGCACAAGAGTAAACTTGTGCAGGAGTTTCTCTCTGAGCAGCCATACGCAGTCCTGCAGTGGCCTTCCTCCTCCCCTGACCTTCATCCCATTGAACACCTTTGGGCTCACCTCAAACGTGAGCTTGCAAAGTATGAACGCCCCCCCACAGGCATGCTGCAGACTTGGGAGCGTGTGCAGGAGACTTGGGAGGGGATCTCCGCTGATGTTTGTAGGGGACTGATAGATCGCATGCCCAGGAGGATTAAGGCTATTGTTAGGGCAAAGGGGAGATGGACTCGTTACTAATTGAGGACACTGCAATGCCTTGTTTGATTTGGGAACAAACTGTCCGAATGTACCCCGTATAATTCCGCCTTCACAACTTCTAGTTTACTAGTCTTAAATGGGCAAGTGGCTGCAGCAAAGATATGCTATGCCATTTGTTTACCAACCTCAAATGGCCAGGATAACTCTACACTCCTAATATTCATGTTTTATACATTTTACTTACAAAAATGGCCAACATGCGGACACTTTGTTCCGTCATTGTATCGCCACCAATCTAGCGCAGGTCCCGTAGTAGTGATACAGCCAGCCGAATTTTTAAATCATCAGCCGTGATGCCTGTGGCATTAAAATAAAGTTCCGCCAAAAATAACCAGCCGTAACAGTACTATTCTTATCTGTGGGGTTGAACGGGGGCGGCATTGTCGGTTTGATCGTCGCTGTCGTCACAATCGGCATAAACGCTGGTGCGGCTACAGTAGCGGCTGCTTCTGACCGAGCGGCTGCTGCTGTCGCTGCTGCTGCTGCTGCTTCGGCTGCTGCTCGTGCTGCCACGTCAGCTGCTGCGGCGGCTTCACTGTCCTTGCACTCCTGGGACACCTCACGTGCGATTTCGTCCAGAACGGTTTCGACACGTCCAGTGCTGGCAACCTCCTCTTGGGCGGCAGTTTTCTGACGCGAATCCTCTCGCGCCTGGCGTAACTCGGCAACTTCTGCACGAAGTCGCTCGTTGTCCTCCAGCACTGTAGCCATGCGTGCGTTCATGGCGTTGAACTGCTCCCGAAGCTCGTTGAACTGAGCTTGGTCCATTTGGCGAATGCTCCGCCGGGGCAGTGGGAATTCCGTTGTGTGCCTGTACTCAGGTAAGCGCAAACGCTATCGTAGTTGGGCGAATTAATCAATCTAATTCGCGGGCAACCGCTTTGCAGCTTATGTGAGGGACTTACCCCCCCCCCCCCCCCCCCCCCAAAATCAACTCACGAAAACGGGTGAGCGAGGAAAGTGGCTATGAATACCAGGTGTTATGAATGAACAAGCAGAGTAGCGCGGAAATGAATAACGAAATGTTCACTAACTGAATGATGATACAAGGAATGGCAAGCCAAGATATAGGAACACCAGAGCTAGTCTAGCCATGAGATGGAAAGGTTCGGGAAAGAGATCGAAGGGTCTCGAGTGATGAAGCGAGGCCCGGAGAACTCCCGAAGGTCGAACCAGAAGGTCTGGAGAAGCCGATGTGATTCTGTCAGAATGGTCCGGAACCATCCCGAGGCTTCGGGTGTGTTCGAGCGTACGCGATTGCAGTACCGCTCGGTAAGGAATAGAAAATTCCTTACAGTGGCCCTCTGCAAAGCCGCATGCATTCCATGCACTTCGCAGTTTTATGCTTGACATACACACGCTACACCAATTTGCAGCCACACGTGTTAGCACTGCAAAGCCTAGATCGTGTGCTCCTGGCTTAGCTATCCTTGCTCTCGGTGGTTTTGATGTTGCCTACTGCTTTCCGTTTCCTCGTTTCTACCAATTCTAGACGCTCGCTGTTTGCGTCGTATAACACGTACCCAACGGCTTTCATTCTAACATTTGAAAAGAAAACACTCCCCAATCGAACGTTCTATTTGGACACGCCCTGATGCTGGACAACTAGATACTCCGGTTGCGTCCGTTGTTTCGTGTCACGCTTCGACGGGAGGGAATTCCGCGTACAAATACTGACATGAAGACCATGGTACGAAGCTATTGAAGAAATCTCGTGTGGGCGTGTCACAAGAGCTCGTTTTCCGTTGAAAACCCTTCCCCAATCATTTTTTAGTGGCTGTCGAAAACCTCTTGGCACCTCACCTAACACGACGGCGCAAACGAAAAGCTGGCCGCCAAAACATTTCAACCAGCCGTTTCTGAAAGCTGAAACAATTCCCGCGCCAGTTCCTATGGCGAACGACAAACTGTTCAGTTGCCTTTTTTTTTGACACAGATCTCTTCTGTTCACTGCTGGCGTGGCATCTCGAGTGGAATTTCTGGTCGATCAGGCACATCCCCAGGATTGCGGATAACGCAGGAACAAAAATGTTAACATAACCGTACGATCGAGGCATCCTACGGCTTCAATATCTATATGGTCCTAGGTTCCAGCGTGGCGTGCGTAGCCGCTATGTGAGGTGTGCTCGCATCTGAAATTTCTCCACCACTCCATGTCTTCCATCTGGCATGCCCCCATCCACTCTCCTCCCCCTCGGCCTTCCCCAATGACGGGCCGAGCCCCCTCCTGCTGCCCCCCCTGTGCTCTGGTCCCCCATTGTTGCTGCTGGCAGCTTGGACTTGGAAACCCCTAGGTCGTTAGGAAACCCCAAGATTCGAGTTTCCTTTCAACAGACCCATCACGTTCCTGAGGCTATCTCCTGCCTCAACCCGTCCCCTGCAGCCTTACCTTACGTCTGCAGCAATGGAGGCTGTTGCCAGGAACGTTGTGTCCTGTCCTTGCGTGGCTGCCGCTGCCAGGGCCTCAGAGTCTTTCTCTGCTCGCAGCTCCGTTGCTGCGTCTAAGACGACTCTCTTCGGCGGTGCTCGTCGCAATGCCCTCGTCGCTAAGGTTCCCGTAGCTGCTGGCAAGTCCGCCAACAGGTCCGTCGTCTGCATGGCAAAGGAGAGCGCTGCTGCTGGCTACGCAGCTGCCCTTATCGAGCTGGGTCAGTCCACCAAAACTCTCGAGGCCATTCACAAAGACGTTGAGACCCTTTCTGGACTCATCGGCAACGCTGAGCTCGCGAACTTCTTGGCCAGCCCCGTCGCCTCGGACGTGCAGAAGAAGGCCGTGATTAAGAACCTCGCAGCTGATGCCGGCCTCAACGCCTATACCGCCAACTTCCTGAACGTCCTCGTAGACAAGAAGCGGATGAACATCGTTAAGGAGATCGCCGCTGTGTTCGAGGAGCTGTACTGCGATATCACCGATACCCAGGTTGCCGTTGTGACGTCGGCCGTGAAGCTCGAGAACTCGCAGCAGGCCCTGATCGCGAAGAAGCTGCAGAGCATGACCGGCGCGAAGAACATCAAGCTGAAGAACGTGGTCGATTCGTCGCTGATCGCTGGCTTCATCGTGAAGTACGGCAAGGATGGCTCCCAACTCATTGACATGAGCGTGAAGGGTCAGTTGGATCGCCTTGCGCAGCAATTTGACCTGTCAGACAATGCCCTGTCTGCCGTTTAGGGGCCGTATTTGACGATGCTACTCTTTTTATGTACGGAAGTTAATCGCAGGTATACCATTGTTGCTTTAATTCTTGTTATCAGGTGATTAAACGACTACAGGAGTTAACTCACAGCCGCTTTACTTCAGCAGTACACCATTCCTCGGGCCGCCCTAACGTGGAGGCCTTGTACAGATGTAATTAACCTTAGTGGCAAAGCTGGTTCCTCCTCAGGCTTGAAGCCATGTCCGGTAATGCTGGTTTCAGGATGTAAGGTACTCAATTGTGAGAACATGTGTATGCAGTGCAGCACATGCACTCTAGGACCCTGGATCTCAGCTGGATCTTGCTGACAGCATGCAACTGCAGGCACTTCGTAAGTGCACAAATCTCCATCGCAGATCCAAAGTTTACATGAACTGGTCGACAATCACGTCTTTCAGCACCTCCATCCTCGCAATCACCGCCGGGTTCATGAGTTTCTTCGCCTCATCTATCAGCGAGCTCTGCTGCCTGCGCTGCGCGTAATACGCCTCCAGCACCTGCTGTATCACCTCCAGAAGCTTCTCCGGTGTTCTGTACAGGAACAGAAACCGCGGGATGCATCAAACAAGATACCGGTGAGCCCAAGAGCAAGGGTGGGCAAGGCCTAAAAACGCCTGAAGGCCATAAGTTACTGTACAAGAAACAGCAGAATACGGCATCAAGTGGTGGAAGAAACGAAAGTAAGCCTAGCCGGCAATTGGCACTCACGTGTAGAGCATGTCCTCTGAAGCGTTCTGCACCTCCAGTTCGCCTCCAGGCGAGAACGCATTGGTGAGCTCTGTAAGCTGCTGGCGGGGGTCTTCTACAGCGAGTACGTGGCGCAGAATGCGCACCTCCTTGGGCACCAGCATGCGCATGTTGATCTGCGCCTGCTTGTACAGATGGTACATGATGTCCTTCACCTGGGAAAGTGGTAGTCACAGCAGATCAAGGGATGGAGTTTAGGGTGGGACGAAAGGGGCATTGGCACCAGAATGCGCATGTTGATCTGCGCACACTTGTGCACATGGTACATGATGTCCTTCACCTGGCAATGTGGAGGAGAAGAGGAAGCACAAGAGATGCAGGAGGTGATCATGTGCACGTGAGTGCGACTGCAAGACCAGCTTGTCAACTTATACATATGATGTTATGTAGAAGTTGTAGGCTAGATAGGTGTATGTTCTTAGTGGGTACAACCCCAACACTATATCTCTCTTGTTTCTCCCTTGTTTCATTTATCCTAGTATTCTAACATGGTATCACGCGTAGGTTAGGTCCCCCCCCCACCTGCTTCCGCCCCGCGCCCTAGCCTACCGCGCCTCGCCGGCCCCCAGCGCGCCTGCCGGCCCCTAGCGTGCCCGCCGTCCCCTCGCGCTGTAGCCGGCCCCTAGCGTGCCCGTCGGCCCCTTGCGCCCAGCCGGCCCCTTCGCGACCAGCCGGCCCGCCCCTCGCGCCGTCGCCAGCCCCTCGCGCCGTCGCTGGCCCCTAGCGCCGTCGCTGGCCCCTAGCGCCCTAGCTGGCCCCTCGCGTCGTCGCCCGCCCCTAGCGCCCAGCAGGCCCCTTCGCGACCAGCCGGCCCGCCCCTCGCGCCGTCACAGCCCCTAGCGCCCTAGCTAGCCCCTCGCGTCTTCGCCCGCCCCTAGCGCCCAGCCTACCCCTTCGCGACCAGCCAGCCCGCCCCTCGCGCCGTCGCCAGCCCCTCGCGCCGTCGCTGGCCCCTAGCGCCCTGGCTGGCCCCTCGCGTCGTCGCCCGCCCCTAGCGCCCAGTCGGCCCCTTCGCGCCTAGCCGGCCCGCCACTCGAGCCGTCACCAGCCGCTCGCGCCTAACCAACCCCTCGCGCCTAGCCGGCCCCTCGCGCCTAGTGGGCCCCTCCCACCTAGCCGGCCCCTACCACCTAGCAGGCCCCTACCACCTGGCCGGCCCCTACCACCAAGCCGGCCCCACTCCTGCGCACCTCCGGCCCCATGTGCCCTACCGGCCCCTCTCCGCACGCCGGCCCTTCCCCTGTGCGCCTTGACTCCTCGCACACCCTCCTCGGCCTTCCTTTCAGTTCAGTTCCGGAGAGTCCTGCCGCCGTGCCGCTGAGCTCCTGTGCCGCAGTGCCGCTGAGTCCCTCTGCTGCTGTGCCGCTGTGTCCCTATGTTGCTGTGGTTGCACGATGGCGGACGCCATGCTCCGTCCGGACGAGGAGGGGCACGCGATCGACTTCGCCGACTGGCTTGTCGATCTCCGCCGGCACCTGACAGGTCAGCGCCAAGATGGGCACTCCCTGGCTATACATGTTGATGGCTTGCTTCCCCGCCCCTCTGCGCCTGATCCCCTCCCTGCTGACCCCACAACTGCTGAGAGTGAGGCCTTAGCTGTTGCGGCGCTAGCTCGCGCTGTCTGCGATTCTCGCGATGCTGTAACGCAGCTTGCCATTAGTCATGTGCTTCCCTTTTCTGAGCGTCCGCGTTTCACTATTGTCGCGAACGCCAATGATTTCCTAGATGCAGTAGTTGCACGCTACTCCACGCATGCCTCCGCCTCAGCTGGCCGCTTGATCCTCCCCATGCTCTTCCCCGATCTCTCTGCTTTCCCCACGGTTGCTGATCTTGCCACTCACCTTCGCGCACTAGAGACTAGCCACCGTGCCACTAGCACTACTGCCCGGCTCACTGCGTTCCCTCCACCGTTCTGCGCTACCCTATACCTTATTGTCATGCGCCTCCCTGACCGCCTAGCCGCTGCCCGTGACCACTTCCTTAGCCAGCACCCAGGTGATCTCACCCTGACCGCTTTTGACGCTGCCTTTTCTGAGATAGAGACTCGCCAGCGCACCATTGCTCAGTCGAGCGGTGTTGCGGCAGTCCATATCTTTCAAGGCTGTGCTCCCTCCCAGTGCTCGTACGCGGACGTCTCCGCTACGGTCGCTACGGCTGCTCTTGCTTCAGAGACCGCCGCGGCGGCATTCTCGCAGCAGCAGCGCCAGCGTCGGGGCCGTCACGGCCCCAAGGGAGTGCGTGGTGATGGTGGTGGCGGCGACAATGGTTCTTACGAGGGGGTTGGGACTGGTGTCCAGGAGCAGCAACAGCCGTCGCCGTCGCAGCAGCAACAGCCGCCGCCGCCGCAGCAACCGCAGCCACTGCAGCCGCCGCAGCAGCAGCCGTGGGCCCGCCTCCCGCAAGTGTGGCCGGGCGCCCCTGGAGGTGGTGGCCGCGGAGGCGGTCCTCGCAGCTTGGCGTCTACCGGCGGTTTCCGTGCAGTCGGCTGACAGTACCAGCTCCAGACCGAGCCCCTCCGTGGCACTTTGTGTCGCTGCCAGCACCCGACTGATCGCTGCTTCCGCCGCCTCGACGACCCCTTTCGTCGCCGCTTCAGCCCAGCTCCGGACCTCCCTGACTGGCCCAGCCTGTTGCGCCACGCTGTCCCTGTTTTTTACCTAAATATGGATCAGATTAGTTCTACCTTGCATTCGCTGTATGCTGACGCTTCTAGTGTGTGTTCGGATCTTATAACCCCATGTTCTCTAGCTTAGGCGTAGCACCTGTGTGAAGTACAGACTCCCCTGCTGCGTCAGGCGTAGGCCCGTTTGCTTTGTCTAGCCTAGGCTCCCCACTTGCTCCTCTTTCGTCTGCAGCTACTGCTTCGCTGACCTTCACACTAGACTCCGGTGCGTCTGCCTGCTTCTTCCGCGACCATGTCGCACTCATGCCACTTGGCGCGCCTGTCGCTGTCGCACTTGCTGACCCCTCGTCTGGTCCTGTTGTTGCTCCCATCTACACTACCTTCCTCTGTCCAGCGGTCCCCTCAGGCTCCCTTACATGCCTGCACATCCCCTCGTTCTCCCCGAACTTAATTGGTGTCGGTTGTCTTCAGACCTCGGCGTAACCACTACGTTCCCGAGTCACGAGCGGTACGTCGTCTGTACCGAGGCTGCCTCAGGTTCCCCCCTTGCGACGTTCCCGCTAGACCCGGTGTCTGGCCTCTTTACGCTTGATATTGCTTCCCCCCTTTGTTTGACCGTCCCTCCTGGGACCAGGTCGCCGCTGGTCACTCACTCATCCGTCACTTCTAGGGCACCCCGCACTCCCGCATCTGTGTCACATGTTCCAGCACGGTCTCGTCCTAGGTTTTCCTGCGTCGCTTCCTGCCCTCCCTCCCTCCCCTGCGACGCTGTACACGCCCTGCGTCGAGGGCCGGTTGCGTCGAGCTCCTCACCCCTCGCTTCGTCCTGCCACCGCACCTCTACAGACCCTGCACTTGGACGTCTCGGGCCCCGCACCCGTCCCCAGTCCGCGTCGCGAGCGCTACTTTCTGGTGCTTGTTGACGACTTCACGCGCTACCCCACGGTGTTTCCCCTGGAGCGGAAGGCCGACGTGCCTTACGTTCTCATCCCGTGGGTCGTGGCGGCCGCCTCCACCGCGGTCTCTCTGTGTTGTGTCTCTACTCCGACCGTGGCGGCAAGTTCGCCTCTGGTTGGCTTGGACAGTTCTGTCGTGCGGAGGGCATCACCCAGTCGTACTCCCTACCGGACTCCCCGCAACAGAATGGGGTCGTTGAGCGACGCATCAGTTTGGTCATGGAGGTGACTCGTACCTTCATGGTTCATGCCGGTGCACCCAATTTTCTGTAGCTGTTCGTCGACCGCTACGCCGCTCACCAGCTTAACCTCTGGCGGCGTTCTCAGCGGCCGCAGGATTCGCCGACCCTTCTCTGGACCGGGTTCCCTTGTGACGCGTTAGCGTTCCACGTCTGGGGCTGCCTCGCTCACGTCCGTGCATCTGGCACGGACAAGCTCACTGCCCGCACTGTTCCCTGTGTCTTTCTCGGTTTGCCCCTACATCCGTCTGACTGGCACTTCTACCAACTGCCGTCTCACCGCTTCCTTCACTCCTGTGACGTCACCTTCGACGAGTCTGTCTCCTTTTACCACCGCTTTCCCCACCGAGGTCTCCCGGTTTTCTCTCCCCTGTTTTTGGTCCTCACTCCCGCGGTAGCCCCGGCTCACCTTCCTCCTCCTCCTGCTCCGTCTGATGTGTCTCGCAGCACTCCCCTCCCGTCGGTTGTCCCGGTCGAGGAGTCGGCTGACTTTGGTGGCCCTGCCGCACAGTTCTTGCCACCCGTTTCTCCCCCGGGTTCTCCTTCTCCGCAGTCGCCGCCGCCGTAGCAGCCGCAGCCGCTGCCGTCGCCGTCGCAGCAGCAGCAACCGTTTGTGGCCTCTGGGGGTGTTGGCGTTGAGGAGGGTGCTAGTCCTCGGGTTCCTGTCGTGGCTTGTCCCGGCGGGCTCGGGGGCGGCACCGGTAGTGGAGAGGGTTCTCGCTCTGGGGGTGCTCGTTCTGGGGGTGCTGGAGTGGAGTGTTCCAGAGGTGGCCGCAGTGCAGCTGGCGGTCCAGCTGTCGGCGTCGAGCAGCAGCAGTCGCCGCCTGTGTCCGCCCTTCGCCTGCTCGGCCTTTCCTCCCCTGACCGCTCGCCTGCGCCTCTCCCGCCGCCTCCTCCCCTTCCTGTCCACGATCTTGTGTTTCCTCTGCCGGACTCGTCCCCTGCTCGTTTCCCACCTCGTTCCCCTCCTGTTACTCCCCCTCTGTCTCCTGACCCGACACCTCTGTCTTATGTCTGGTCTCGTCGTCTGTAACGTGCTCGTCCTGTCTCCCCTATTTAGCGTTCTCACCCTATGTTGCTTCGTTCACACGCGTCTCGTCTTCCCCTCCTGTCTTCGCCTCCTCCGTCGTCGCTCGCTGTCGCACCTCCCCCTCGGTCTGACTACCTGCGTGCTGCTCGTCCTCTTGTTCCTCGGGTGCTTGCCTCCTTTGTTACCGACCCGTCTCTTCCTCTCTCGCGTCTTGACGCTCTTGTCGCTGCTGTCGCTGACTTCGCCTCTACCCGCTGCCTTTACTACGCCACCGCTCTGGTCTCTGACCCTATCCGTCCTCTGTCCGTCGGGGTGCTCCTGCCGTTGGCAATGACGTCCTAGAGGTTTAGGCAGTACGAGCTTGCTTTCCTGTCCGAGGCTGCTCCCCATCTCTGCTCCATGCTAGTACTCCTTGAGAGTGACCCAGACACTTTCACGAGCAGCCTACACGAGCAGGTCTACCTGCGCCGTCCTCAGGACTTTACTGCTATCTTCCCTCCTGGGACCCAGTGGCTCCTCTGGCGCCCAGTATACTGCCTGCGACAGGCGCCCTGTGAGTGGCACGACACGCTGCGTGCTACGCTAGCTAACCTGCAGTTCTTTCCGTCCTTTGCAGTCCCCTCGTTCTTCGTTCGTGCTGGCCAGACTCCAATCTACATTCTTATCTACGTAGACGACTTGGTCTTCGCTACAGCAGACAGAGACGCGCTGGCCTCCGTGAAGGCCGAGCTGCTGAGGAGACACACCTGCACTAACCTAGGAGAGCTGCGCCGGTACCTTGGCTTGCAGATCTCCAGAGACAGAGCAAAGCATACCATCACTCTCAGACAGTCACACTTGGTGCGCCAGGTCCTTCAGAGGTTCGGTCTTCAATTCTCCTCCGCACAGCCCACACATCTGCCAATAGACCACAGGCTCTCAGCTCCTGTGCCTGAGGAGTTAGCAGAGCCCAATGGTCCTTACGCAGAGCTCGTGGGTTGCCTCATGTACTTGATGACTTGCACTCGTCCAGATCTCGCATACCCTCTCAGCATCCTGGCTCGCTTTGTGGCTACAGGCAGACACCGACCACGGCACTGGTCGGCCGCTAAGAGGGTTTTGTGTTATCTAGCAAGTACATCGGGCATGGGGTTAGTGCTTGGAGGACGCAGACCAGTGGTCCTTACTGGGCACACTAACGCTTGTTTGACAGACTATGTTGAGACTCTCAGGTCCTCCTAAGGCTACTGCTTTAGCCTTGGTTCAGGGGCCATCTCGTGAAGGTCCACTCGCTTCTCGTCTGTTGCCTAGTCTAGCTATGAGGCTGAGATCTACGCTGGTGCCATGGCGGCACAGGAGCTCCGCTGGCTGACCTTCTTGCTCGCTGACTTAGGTGAGCGACCTAGCTCTGCCCCGGTTCTGTACGCTGACAACAGGGCCATGATCGTCCTGTGTCAGGAGCCTCGACTTGAGGGCAGAGCGAAACACATCCAGCTGCAGTTCTTCCTTCCGCGCGAGCTACAGCAGCGTCGCCAGGTCCGCGTAGTACACTTGGCCTCCGGTGCCAACATAGCTGATATCTTTACGAAGGCGCCTGCGCCTAGAGATCATCAGCGGCACTGTTTGCAGCTTGGTCTAGTTCCTGTAGACTCTCACTTGCTAGGACCCTGATTGAGTATTCCTCTATATTTATACCTTTCAGACTGGCCTTGTGGCTTCTCTATCAGTGGTCGGACTAGTAGTGCCGCCCTGGTTTGCTCTTGTCTTGTTTGTACTCTTGCTCACTGGTCTTTAGACTCAGAGGTTGAACTAGTAGTGCCACCCAGAGCTGCATGTTTCTTGCTCAGCACTACCCCTTATCTAGCCTAGGGTGTGTCAACTTATACATATGATGTTATGTAGAAATTATAGGCTTGATAGGTGTATGTTCTTTGTGGGTACAACCCCAACACTATATCTTTCTTGTTTCTCCCTTGTTTTATTTATCCTAGTATTCTAACACAGCTATCCCCCCCTCCCCTCACACACATCTCTATGCCTCTCTCACCTGATCTTTCTCCATATTAGAATCTTTGGCAGCGACCCATGCTTTGATGCGCATGAGCATGAGCGTCGGGCCTAGCTGCTGCCACGTCTAGCTCCCTCTCACATCGCACACACAGACACACAGAAGCTTTAAGGCAAGCACCCTCACCTCGTCTTTCATCATGTTGCTCTCCTTCGTGGCGGCCCACGCCTTGGTCATCATGAGCATGAGCGTGTATGCTACACCAACTGCTCTCTCCATACATACATCCTCTCCTCTCTATCTCACCTCGTCTTTCACCATGTTTCTCTCCATAGCAGCAGCCCACCCCTTTGCGATCATGGGCATGAGCGTCGCGCCTCGTTGCTGCCCTCTCTCCACCCTTCATCCCTAACACACTCTCGAACAGCCATGGAGGAAAACACTACTCTCACCTCATCCTTCATTGAATTGGACTCCTTAGCAGCGGCCCGCGCCTTGGTGATCATGAGCATGAGCGTGGAGTCCAGCTGCTGCCGCGTCTACTCCCTCTCACATCACATCACACACAGAGAAGATATAAGGCAAGCACCCTCACCTCGTCCTTCATCATATTCGACTCCTTAGCAGCGGCCCACGCCTTGGTGATCATGAGCATGAGAGTGGAGTCCAGCTGCTGCCGCGCCGCCAGCTGGTCGATCTTGCTGCATGCCTCTGCCAGGCTGCCGCTGCCCATGATGTCGTCGAACTTGGCTTGCGCCACCTCCACTTCTGCCTCGTCCGACTCCACCTTATCGTGAATGTCCACCGCTGTCACGCACTTGGCGGCTAGAGATGCGATCTCTGCACAAAAGGTCAAGAAACAGTGGGGGAAAAACAGCACGTCAAGAGGAAGAGGGGAGGAAGGGGGGAGGGGTAAATCTTGCTGCACGCCTCTCCCAGCGTGCCGCTGTCCATGACGTCATCAAACTTAGCCTGCGCCAGTTCAGCGTCTGCTTCCTCCGATACCACATAGTCGTGAATGTCCACTGCTGTGACACATTTTTTTGGTGTCAGGCTGCCATGGCTGGCCTGGCAGAGGATCTGCAGGTTCTCAAAGAACAGTCGCCTGTGACACCACCCCATGCATACACAGGAAGTACTCGTATCGGTGACTACCTGAGCAGAGCCAATCCCGCCCGCTCACCGTCTTGCCGCTGTGGATCGCCATGGGCGGCCTGGCAGAGGATCTGCAGGTGCTCGAAGAACTCCCCCGTGAAGTCCTTGCGCCGCCGCGCCACCAGCCCCTCCAGCGCGCCCTCCGCCTCGTGCTCCTCCACCAACACGAACAGCTCGTTGTGCGCCGCCATTGAGTCGTCCACCTGGTCAAGACGGGGGGAGAACACAGCTTGGGACCAACAGTTTGGGGCCGCCGTGCCATAGTCCCTCCTGTGCGCCCTCCGCTTCGTGCTCCTCCAGCAACTCGAACAGCTCGTTGTGCGCCGCCATTGAGTCCGCCATTGAGTCGTCCACGTGGTCAAGGGTGGACAGGAGGGATGCGCAGAGAGAGCGTTCACGGCCGTGTCAAGTGCAACCACCTTGGGCCCGCCACCAGCCCCTCCACTGCGCTTTCCACCACGTGCTCCTCCACCAATGAGAAGAGCTCTCTGTGCGTCGTCATTACAGTGTCCACCTGGTGTGCGGTACGAGGGAGGGGCAAGGGAAACACGAAGCATGGGATATGGGGTCCCTCTCCCGCTTGCTCCTCCACCAACTTAAACTGCGCCGTCATTGAGTTGACCACCTGGCGTGGTGTACAAGGCAGGGGAACGGACAGACAGCTTCATACTAAGCCCGCCACCAGCCCCTCCAGAGTCCCCCATCCTCCTCGTGCCTTTCCACTGGAGCAAACAGTTGGCTGTGTGGAAGTGCTGCCACTGAATCGTCCCACCGTCCCACTAATGGAGAGCGGCAGCGAGCAAGATCAGAGCAGGTAGGTAGCTCGAAAGGCGTGCTCCTCCGCCAGCGCCAAGAAAGAAAGATGCATATTGTGCGCGGCCAAAGGCGGCGTCAGGTACAGGGGCCTAAACCCTCACCCCGCTTTTACTGCTGACCTCTTCAGGTCTCCGTGGCAGTCCGTACCACTCTGCTGCCTTGTCCGCCTTGCCCTCCTCCCCAAACTGTTGCGCTCTCAGCTTGAACCGCTCAAGAAGCGCAATCAAATGGTTCGCTTTTGAGTCGACCAAAATGCAACCGAATGGTTGCTTCTGAGTCCAGTCAAATGCAACCGAATGGGCGCTAACAGCAGGCGTCACTGCGCGGGGCCAGGCGTCCCTCTCTCTCTCTCTCTCTCTCTCTCTCTCTCTCTCTCTCTCTCTCTCTCTCTCTCTCTCTCTCTCTCTCTCTCTCTCTCTCTCTCTCTCTCTCTCTCTCTCTCTCTCTCTCTCTCTCCACCCACAACACGTCCACCAGGCGGCCGCACTCGCGCTGCTCACCGCCACCCCAAACCTTAAACCCGGAACCCCTACCCCCGTTTTACCGCTCACCTCGTTGAGTCTCCGCGCTAGTCGGTACAGTTCCGCCGCTTTGTCCGGCTTCTCCTGCTCTTCAAACCCCTGCGCTCGCAGCTTGACCCGCGTGAAGAAGTGCGGGCGAATGCGCGCCCACTCGCTGCTGAACGCGAGCAACAACCGCCACTGCGCGGGCTCGGGCTTCTCCACCCAGAAAACGTCCACCAGGCGGTCGCACACGCGCGACATCTTAAAGCCCTCCTCCACCTCGGGATCGTCCTCTTCCTCCTCCTCCGCCTCCTTGTCTTCCCGCTCCCCGCCCTCCGCTTGCACCTTGCTCTCCGCTTTCTCCTCTGCCTCCCCATTTTTCTCTCGCCCCTCCTCTCCCCTTTCTGCTGGTTTTGATTCGTTCGCCGAGACCTGCTCCTCGCCTGCCGCCGTTTCGCTGCCAGATTCAGCTTGGGCCGATTTGGAGGTTTCTACGCTCGTTACGGAGCCGGAATTGGAATGTGCGCGTACGCGATATAGAGGAACGCGATGCGAAGACGAGGCGGATGGGATGGAAGAGGCACGAGCGTGCGTGGCGAAGGATTCTCTTAGACCGCCACTCAATAACGAGGATCGTTCCTCCTCCAATTGGCAGCAAGTGCCATGCGGGTCTGAATCTGATAGGGGCAACGAACGCTGAGCGGCACGTAAACGGAACCTAGACGGAAATGGTCCTCTGCTGACGTGTACACCGGCAGTTGGCCTAAGACGTTGCACGCCCTCCCAGCTTCGGACTGGCTTTGCGATCGTGGAAACTCCATCGATCGCGGGCACTGTAGCACGACAGGACGAGAAACGCATAGCAAATTCTGCCGCCATTTCTGAGAAGAAGAATGCGAAGAAATATCCAAAGACGTGGGCCTTCAGCGAGAGGAGTCAGGAGGGATCTCAGGTTCGACTAGAACTGGCAGCGTGAGAACAGCCGTATCACGTTACACGTCTTGTCAAAAGCTCCCGCGAAAATGGCACACAAAGCGGTTGCGATCGATGGCTGTACGGCCGACAAGCAGTACGGCAAGCAGGCAGGTCTCGTTGCAGGGAGGGACAAGCCCAGCAGTCACTGCAGTTGCAGACTTGAGCAACACGCAAGTACAATTTGGTAAATGGTGAGTGTTGTGTTCATCTCCTCGACATTCAGGAGGCAGGATCCCTAGACTAGAGCCTTGCAGGTGACACTTGAAAAGCAGGCAGGAGAACTACGGTATGACGCATACAACCGTTATGAAATGCTCTACACAACCTGCAACCCTTTCGAACCTCTGGTTTGGAAGTCCCCCTTTCTCCCAAAAGGACGGTGCATCAGGATTTCAAAAGGCTGCTCCGTTTCGGGAATGGTTTGAGTGTGCTCACATCTATTAAAGTCGAATTTCATACCAAAACAACTCATCCTTCATTTCATCCTTCTGAGCCCGATTGCAAGGCAAAATGCGTACTGTGCCGCGAGGAGAGCAACGAACTAGCAAATCGAAGTACAATCTAAGCAGTCGGAGTGAGAATCAGCAGGATCATAACATAGTGCAGAATCAGAATCTAGGTGCCAGAAAGAGACATAACGAGATAAAAAAGGGAGAATCTACAAACGTTGGGAATGAAGGGATGGATGGGGGGCCTTGACAGCGCTGAGAATGCCGTTTCTGCTTCCCAACGAAACTGACAGGCAAGCGACAAGACACCAGGGGTGCTTGCTTGCCAGGCTGCTAGCTGCAACAGAGTCACAGGGGAAGTTGCTTAGAGAACCTACACTGTCAGCCGCACACCTTGATCGCACGTTACCCTCACACATAAGACTAATCCCAATCACGCTGAGCTGCCACTCGCCATGCATTCTCTAAAAACCAACGGTTATGATTCGCAGATGTAGATCACGACATGGTTTGGTCGGTCCGATTCTCCTTCCCGCGCGCCCATGGGGTTCCACGCGCTCTGCATGGCGCAGTTCTCCTGAATCGACGCCACTTTCCCGCCGCTCGTGTAGCGCGCGAGCAGCTGGCTACTGCTCCCCCACAGCTGCTGCACCTGCGCGTGCCACGCCCCCCACTGCTGCTTCTGCTGCGCCGATTTTCCGCCCTGCGCCTCCCCCGCTTGCGCCTTACCCCCCGCTGAGGTCTGGTGCTCGAGTTCCGCCATCTCTCCGCCGCTGCTCAGCGCGGGCTCACTGCGCGCCGATAGGCTTCGTTCTGATAGGTTGCTGGTTTGGTTGCTGAGTGTCGGAAGGCTTTCCCGCGCGCTTCGGCTGCCGAAGTACGAGCCGCTTAGGAGGTCGCTGGCGGCTCGAGGCATCTTGGGAATGTTCATGATTGGTCGGATGAATAAGATTGGTCGAGGGTGAAGTGAATCAGTGGTGGTGGATTGGCGAGTATACCAAGCTTAGAGCCCAGGAAGAGAGGAGTTTCGGGAAGAGAGGATAACTGGGTACAAAGCGTGCAGCTCCACGAGCTTGTTTCTCGCAGAATAGAGAGAACCTGAGTGGAAAGAGGTCCGAGAGAAGAGTGCAGGACAGAGAGGCGAGGGATGGCGGTAGTAAGTCTCTGGGGTGGTGACAGCGAGTGATATACTGGAACTCTTGGCGATTAGTGAACGATGCAATGGGTTCGACGCCGAAAGTGAAAGATGGGAGGGTGTATCGCGTTTCGAAGCAAGAGATGAAACCAAGACGTGTATCGACAGACGCGGAAATGTCGAGCACTATTACGGAACGACGTCACAACATCACGAATCACGCCGTATGAGAGAGCATTGCATCCTGTTACCTGATAGCTTCAGCTGGCAATCTCCACAAAAATAAGGAGCCGAGGTCGACGATATCAGGCCGTCACGCGACTAGTGTCAGAGGTAACAGACATAATCTAATGCAATTAGAGCGAGAAATACGCGATCCTGGCATTAGCGGGCTCTAGCTTCTCGGAGCTTCGTCTGACTGACTTGTTCTTCCTCTGCTCACCGAACTGCCTGCCTATTCCTTGCCTCGTCTCTTCACGTGTCTCTTGTCCCGTGCGTCTAGACTGTGAAAGCTTGACAAACACAAACGCCTAGCTAGACGAGTTTGCAGGTTGCTGCTTCCGATAAGGGTGGAGTGGAGCAATGGCGGAACAATTCTCGACTCGACTGATTGATTCTCGCTTCTCCTCGACTCTCGCGGTTGGCCCGTTTATGCGAAGCCAGATTCCGTTGGGTCTCTGTCAAGGACCGTGGCCGAACCACACTGGCCGAACCTGTTTGACGAGGCGCGGGGACACCCAGCGGGGAGCGGAGGGGTTCGGTTTGCGAGCCAAGGGAGTGCCCCGTGGCACCGACGCTTTGGCGGCGAAGTGTAGCCACCCCTACCAGATATTTTGTCGCTATTCGAACATGCGACGACGCGATAGCTTTGACGACCATGTTACCGTACGCACCGAGCTGTTGTCAAACTCTTCGCCGTCTCTGAACCGTGCAAAAATGCAGACTTGGACCGCAAAGCTAGGCTCGGATGTATGCCAAGCCCCAACCAAGTTTCGAACCATACCAAGTTGACTCACACCACCAAAGCCAAGCCACCACCACAGTGGCTTGAAATAGTCTAGCGCGGTGCGTTCGGCCAGCTTTGCCAAAGCATGATCGGCTACAACTGTAGCCAGCAGGCGTTTGATCTTACACAGGTACATCCAAACGTATGATTCGCGTAATATTGGTAGTCTTAGAGAATGCATATGTTGCTTTTGCATCTTCACATTCTCAAGATAGAATACCTTCCGTCCTGGAATCTAAAATTTTCCTGAAACCACTTACTAAACGCAAGCTTCGAGGTTTCTTGGAAAAGGTGCATAACAAAATATTTGCGTTCAACAAATCAAAACAGACAAAAATGCCATGTAGAAAAAATCTCGCACGCCACTAGCCCTTGCGCATGTTTCTGCCCGCCCGTAGCACTTCATCTACCAATAGTAGCTGAGAAGCGATGATGGGACTGCAAGAAAAGCACACATAAAGGGTGATGGTGCAGAGGGTGAGACACGACACGACCCTCATGCTAGCAGGATGGCTAATGGGAGATGCAAATGCAAATTTGCAATGATAACCACGGGGTTTCAATTCAAGAGTAGATGATAAGCTGGAAAGGAAGTTTTGGAATGAGGTAGTTGAAAGGAGAGGTGCAAATTAATAAGGCTGCAGGTAACACTGATATCACAGCAAGGCACGTCGAGGCACAACCTAATGAGGTATATCAAATTATATCTTACGCGGAGTTGATGAGTTGCTTCTTGACACTGTAGTTGTCGAAAACACCCTCCACCTGCGGGTCCATGGGCTCGCCTGTCATCACATTGAGCCCCACCACGTTGCCCTTGGCATGCTCCGACTGCACCCATGCATTCCATGCCATGCCATAATGGCCCGTGTCATCACGTGCCATGTCATGCCATGCCATAAAACGGCAGGAAATGCCACGCCATGCCAGAACATCCCATATCACATCATAGCACATGAAGCCATGCCACACCATGCCATGGCATCCCACAAGAGACAATGCCATTAAAAAAGGCGTCCCCCAGAGTAGGGGAACATGCATAGGAGGTTTCCTGTTATGTCCATGTATATGTATCTGGGAACAGAGTGCTGCACTCATCATGAGCCCAAGCCATGATGATGCGGTCGTTAGGCCACATGCTGATGCTGGCAAGCATAGCATACAGCAAGGTCATGACATCAGCGGCACGAACGGTATGTGCAGCTGAATGATGACGCCAGCATGCGGTCTACTATCTCCAGGCGATAACGTATGCATGCACCATCCTGTGTTACCTGCAGCTGTGTGATGACGTCAGCATCCATGTCACCTGCAGCTGTATGATGACGTCAGCATCCATGTTACCTGCAGCTGTGTGATGACGTCAGCACCCATGTTACCTGCAGCTGTATGATGACGTCCTGAGTGTCGAGCCCCGAGTTTTCCGCCAGGATCTTGGGCACCACTGTCAGCGCCTCTGCGAATGCCTCCACTCCCAGTTGCGCCCTCTGTGGTCAGGGGGAGAGGGGAAGGGGGCGGGAAAGGGGAGGGCGCGAATGATGGGCATGTAAGAAATTCCCACGTCTTGGGCACCATTGTCAGCGCCTCTGCAAATGCCTCCACTCCCACTTGCGCCCTCTGTGGTTAGGGGGAGAGGGAGAACGACGGAGAGTGAGGGAGAGTGAGGGAGAGTGAGGGAGAACGAGAACAGGAGAGAAAGAGAGTGGAGAGGCAATATGACTCACTCGTGTTGCCATCTTTTGCACCCTCATCCACCCCGCAGCACTCACTTGGTACTCACTACCCCCACCGAACCTCCCTGCTCCCCCCCACGTATCCACTGTGCAGCACTCACCCCCTGCACGGACGGCTTGACAGTCTCCAGCAGGTGTAGGCGCGCTGCCAGCTCAAACGCCCCTCCGCCCTGGAAGATGTGGTGAGGGGGAGGGATGCGAGGGAATGGTGGAGTGGGATGTGGGAAGGAGAGGGACAGCATTAGAGATACCTCGAACCAACAGGTGTAGGTGTGGTGCCAGGTCAAACGAGCCTCAGCCCTCACAGCACGATGTGTGAGCGATGGGAGGAGTGTGAGGAAGTGGGAAGTGAGACAGGGAGGAGGAACCATACACAGAGAGGCACGAGGCACGAAGCATGAGGCATGAGGCATGAGGCACGAGGCACGAGGCATGAGGCATGAGGCATGAGGCATGAGGCATGAGGCATGAGGCACGAGGCATGAGGCATGAGGCATGAAGCATGAGGCACGTAGTATTGCACTCCTCCAATAGAGTGCCAAACAGCACTGGAGCATCGCAGGCCCTGGCAACTGCTGTAGGCCGAGACGCATGCCCCTCCACTCACGAGCACCACCGCCCCGTCCTCCAGGGTGTTTTTCACAGACCACGCCGGCATTCTACTCGTGATCCCAACTGACCCAACTCCTGCTCTGCGCCTCAGCCCTTCGCCCCAAATCGCGAGCCTACGCCCTCTACCCCATGCCCCTGCACTCACCAGCACCACGGCGCCGTCCTCCAGGGTGTTCTTCACGGACCGCAGCCCGTCCCTCACTGCGTCCTTGATCTGCGCTATCGTGTGGTCGTTGGGGCCTGTAGGAGCACAGGGGCACGGAGAAAAGCGGCGGCGAGAGGGGCATGGGCGGTGACAAGTGAGCAGGAAGCACTCCAACCCTCTGCTCCCTTGCACTCAATGCCACTGCTGCTCCAGCACCTACCCTTGATGAGGATGGAGCACGAGTGTGGGTTTTCCACTTGCTCCACAAAGGCATACCTTTCCTCCCAGCAAGGGCTTGTACACCAGCCCGCCCACCCCAGGCTTGTTTGAAAGCACCGCAAAGCACACCGCTCTGCTCACTGCTGCTATCACCTACCCTTGATGAGAATGGTGCACGAGTGCGGGTTCTTGACTTGCTCCACGAACGTGTACTTCTCCTCCCCCAGCACGTGCTCGTACACCAGCCCCGCCCACCCCAGGTCGCTCTCCTTGAGGTCCTCCACGCTGTTCACTGCATCGCCCCCACACGCCAGCACCAGGCGCTCCATGTTGCGCTTCTTGGCGCGGCGCAGAGCCACAATCTGAGAGAGGCGTTGAAGGGCACAAGACGGGGGGGAGGGAGGTGAGCCCCTCCACATGATTCAACACGTCTCCCCCACCCCACGCCTGAGCATCATGCGCTGCATATTGTGCTCTTGGCTCCCCTGAGAGGCACTACCTGTGGGCGTGGGGAGAGGCGAAGAGGGGGGGGGGCGGGAAAAGGAAACGGGAAGGACGAAGGCGGGCGGGTCACCGGTTGCGCCCGCCACACACCAGCGCCGCCCACCCCTGGACCGGGTTGCTGGGGCCCCACAAATCGCAGCCCTCGTTGAGCTCCTCCCCGCTGTTCAATTCATCGGCCAGGACTGACCGAGGGGTACGATGTGAATGGGAGCCATGGTTGTTGAGAGGGACGGCAAGGGGAAAGATGCGCCCAGCTGCTGACTCGAGTGCACTCAACAGCAGCTCGCCCGGCGGCTTGCCTCGCCTGCCCAGCAGGCAGATACCAGTGTCAGTCCTCAGGCTGCTTGGCGCGCCTGAGGGCTGCTATTTGAGAACGAGCTACAGCGGTGAGTGAATGCACAGCGAGGAGCGGGGGAGGACCATGGGAAAGGGCGGTTCGTTGTGTTTTCCTCACTGGCCTCGCTATCACTCCGAGGTGAGCGGGGGAGGGCGAGCAGGAGAGGTGAGGGGGGGGGGTGGAGTGGGGGGGTTGAGTGAGGGCGGTGAGGGTGGGAGGTGAGCATGGAGTGGCATGGCATAGCATGCATGGCATGCGCTCACCCCTTCTCTAGCGAGCATGTCGAGCGAGATGGGATCGATGCCCTTCTGGTTCACCACCACAAAGCTCTTGTCGCCGTCGCCACACACCTGACAGTGCATACACATGAGACATGAGACACACATGAGACACACATGAGACACACATGAGACACACATGAGACACACATAAGATGAGATACACACGAGACACACATGATACACATGTCACATCACATGGTGCACAAGCACACGAGGCACATGCCCACGAGGCACATGCACACGAGGCAAATGCACAGGATACAAGTGCACATAAACATGGAGAAGGAGAAACATGGTGGTCGGAGTCCTGGTCATCAGGCAACTGCTTCAAAACAGCGCATTCTCCTCTCCTGCACACTCCTCTCCATCACTCTCCCCTCCTTTCCTCCAGCAGCCGTCCGGAAGACACACCTTGCATCATCTACCTCTCGTCTTTTCCAACCCAGCTTCGTTCTTTTGCACACACCACCAACCCACCGACCCACCAACGCACCGACCCACCGACCCACCGACCCACCAACCCACGCACCCACCAACCCACCAACCCACCGACCCACCGACCCACCAACCCACCGACCCACCAACCCACCGACCCACCAACCCACCAACCGACCGACCCTCCAACCCACCGACCCTCTAACCCACCTTTTTCTTGAGCTCGATGATCTTGCGCACGCGCTCGTCCACAAACTTCCTCTCCGCCACCACCATCTTCTCGCGTTGCTCCGCGTCGTGGTAGAAGAACCCCGAGTTCACCTCGCTGGATGGGAGAAAGAAAAGGAGGGATGCGACATGGGCAGGTGGAGGGAGAGGATGGAATAAGAGAGGGCAGTGTGGCAGGCAAATCCAGAGCTTATTTCTGGGAAAGCGTACCTCTTCTCATGCTCCAGCAACACATTCCATGTGAGCATGCAGTCGTCTAGTAGCACATCCCCTAAACTCTTCTCATAAGCACATCCCCAAGCCTCTTCTCTTAAAGCACATCCCATTCCCGTATGAGGATGCAGCATGTGAGGATGCAGCACGTGAGGATGCAGCACGTGAGGATGCAGCACGTGAGGATGCAGCATGTGAGGATGCAACATGTGAGGATGTAGCACGTGAGGATGTAGCACATGAGGATGTAGCACATGCCATACCTCTTCTCGTACTCCAGCGACACATTGCATGTGAGGATGTAGCAGTTCTCGGCCCTCTTCTTCATGTCGGGGTGCCGCGCCCCATGGTCCAGCACCAGGCCCTCCACCTGCATGGTGGCACGGTTTCATGGATGAGGGCAGTTGGACAAGGCGCATGAAGACGATGGAACCAATGGGAGCACTGGATGTGCGCACAGGGTCCTAGAAGGCCGCCAAAACAAGAAATGCTTACCTGGGCCTACGCCCTCGACGCGGAAAAGAGCTGAACCTAGCGGCCAACACTAAACAACTTCAACACACCCGGCGCGAGTCGCAGTGTCGCGCATGTGCATGGTGCATGGTGCGTGGCACCATGTATCTATGACCATACCAGGCGTGAGTCGCAGTCGAGCTTGTGGCGCATGTGCATGATCTCCACCATGAACAGGTCGATGGGCTCCGAGGGCTTGCGGATGCACAGCACCTGGTGGGGCGGAAGGGAGCATGAGATGTGCGGGGGGAGACAGCACAGAGCGCGAAGTGGTGCTCCGCGCGTGCACTGGCGATGCCGATGGGCTCCGATCCAACGGCTTGCCGACGCACAGCACCTGGTGAGAGGAAGAGGGCACACGTTACAGGGAGAGACGATGCGGTTCAGAGCGGTGAAGGCAGCATGTGGTCCTGGCAGCACACTGCACATATGTGCGCTCATGTACTGCCAGCATCCCCACCCTGAAGGGATCAATGGGCTTCGAGGGCTTGCGGATGCACAGCCCCTGATGATGCAGCAGCACATAGAGCATGGCGGGAGAAGATAGGTGATGGAGCACAAAGGGGGTTCATGGGGTTCAGAGCGGATGGGGTTGAGAGCGTGCATGGGCACATGAGGATGCACGGCACCTGGAGAGGAGTTAAACAAGAGGATGAAGGGTAAGGGATGGGATGGGATGGGATGGGATGGGATGGGATGGGATGGGATGGGATGGGAGGAGGTGGCGAGGCAAGCAGGCGCCTTTTGAGGCGCCTCAAGGGCAAGGAGGAGGTCAGAGACGGGGGTGCTGCAACAGAGCCTGCTCTTGAAGGGCGTGCATAAACAGAGAGAGAGAAAGCGCCCCCCAAAAGAGGTGATCGACTCTGACTGCACGACAGATGGGCTGGCAGCCGTCGAGCTATCAGCTGAAGTGTGCAAAGCATGGCCTTCGTGACGCAAGGCAGCTCAAGCATCGTGTCGTGTGCAAAGCATGGGGCGACGGGCACAGTGGTGGGCGGCGGCACTCACAGCGTTGACGACAATATCGGTGAGCTGATCCGCTAGCTTCTCATGCACCTGGCAATGGTGAGGGGGGAGGGGAAAGTTAAAGAGGGTGGGGGGGGGAAGATGAGCATTTTCAGGCAGAAAAGGTTGCATGCGCTGACGACAATGTCGGTGAGCTGATCCGCTAGCTCTTCACGCAACTGGCAGGGCTGGGGACAGCAGGCGGAGATGAGGGTGGTGGGGGGGGATGAGGGCGGTGGGGGAGATGAGGGCGGTGGGGGGGATGAGGGCGGTGGGGGGGATGAGGGTTAGGCAAGGAATAGAGGGGCATGAATCGACAATGTCGGCGAGCTGATCTGCTAGCCTCTCATGCACCTGCCAATGACGAAGATGAAGGGAGAAAGAACGCATGGCCGTTGTGAGTGACGATGATGGGCAAACGGGCATGCATTCACGGCAGTGCCAGGGAGCCGATTCGCATGCACCTGGCAGTTATCATCGAGGTGTCGGCGACAGACTTAAAGCCTTCTTATGTGGAGCAGCCCCCATGGTCACCAGCAACTCCTCAAGCGAAACGTTATCTCCTGCCCATCTTGCTGTCGGGAGAGGCTCGTCCTACTCTCGTGCGTGCACTGCTCACACCCACCGTGGCGTGCAGAGTAGAGCGAGCCACCAGCTGAAGCGTTTCCTTGCCAAATGTACCCCCATGGTCACGGGCGCCTTGAGCTCCTCCCGAAGCACCACACCTGGCAAACCGTGTTGCGTCAGACACACGCCAACACTCACACCTTGGTGCGCACCGTGGTTCGCCCCATGCCATGGTGGCGGGCGTCCTCAACTCCTCCAGGAGCAGTGCGAGCATGGCGCCCCATACCTTGCTTGCAGCACGCACTGCTCTGCTCTCACACCTTGGTGCGCAGCGTGGTGCGCGCCACCAGCTTGAGCGTCTCCTTGTCGGGAGTGTCGCCCATGGCCACGGGCGTTTTGAACTCCTCCAGAAACGCCAGGGTCGCCTTCTTGGCGCGCTCAAACCCGTCACAGAGCAGACGCGGGTGCATGCCTGCGCGCACGGGGGTGATCAATGGTAAGTCATCATAAAAGCACGTTCGTGGCGCGCTGAAAGCCGCCGCACAGCAGACGGGGATGCATGACTGCTGCAATTAGTTTGGGGGGAAGGGGGGCCACCAGCTTGAGTGCCTCTTTCACAGGGGCGTCCCCCACGGCGTCTCCAACTCCTCCAAAAACGCCAGAGTCACCCTCTTGGCGCACTCAAACCCGTTGCAGAGCACGCACGCGTGCATGCCACGAGGGCGGGGAGGGGGGTATCGCGGGCAACAAGACCGGAAGAGGCAGGGTGCTCGACCGGCCTGAGGCGCGCTCACAGTCCTCGGCTTCACAGAGCGCCGGGAGCTCAAAGCCCAGGACGCAAGCCTCACGGGATGGATGGTGGTGCGATAGGAGATATTGAGGGGACAGCCCAGGGGGCATGATGGGAGCGTGGAAGGTGGAGGTGAGCAAGTCCATGTCTCCGCCTTTCACAAAAGACCCACCTTCACTGAGTTGCCGCCTCCGACTGTTTGAGAAACTCACCGATGAGCAGCACGATTGCCATCCCTGCTATACTGTATCCTCGTTATAGGCAAAGCTCAACCTCACCTTCACTAATGTACTGCTCGGACTGCTTGAGCAGCTCGCCAACGAGCAGCGCGGCGAACGTGGTGCCATCGCTGCTGTACTGCACTGTATACTCGTTATAAGTATACCTAGTCCAGATCTCACCTTCGCTGATGTAGCGCTCGGACTGCTTGAGCAGCTCGCCGATGAGCAGCACGGTGGAGGTGGTGCCGTCGCCCGCTATGTCGTCCTGCGCCGTGGCCGTGCGCGCTATCATCACCGCCGTGGGGTTCTGGATTTGCTGCAGAGAGGAGGCGACGAGAATACGCAGAGGAGAGCACGGGAGGAGAGAGTTCGAGCATTTGTCGTCCTGTGCCACTCTCGTGCGCGCTCTCATCACCGCCGTGCCGTTCTGGATTTGCTGCAAGGAGGCAATTTTTGAGGCGCCTCAAAAATAGATTTGCTGCAAGGAGGCAGCGAACGGGGGGGACACGGAGAGAGTTCACAGGCGATTGAAAGCCTTGAGAACTAAACTGCGAGGCGAAATGCCCGGGTTAGAGCCCGTCACTGGACACTCCCACTCTTGTGAATAACCTTGAGATAGTTACAAGGATGCATAGAGAGTTAAAACACATGATCGCAACAGGCGTCTCCGGAGAGAACCAGACGGGATGGATATTGACGAAAGCTGAACCCTGAAACACCGCGTCGTTAGGATGTGAGGGTTACCATTTCGCGCAGGAGAGTGTTGCCGTCTTTCGTGAGCCGGATGTCGCCAGCGCCGCCAACAAGCCTGCCGCACGAGATGAGCACAGGCGGGCGAGGGGAGAGGGGGCATGGGAGATGAGACGCGGGAGGTAGAGAGAGAAGGGACGGCCAAAAGCGAATAGAAGAAGCAGCAGGGACGGCCTGGATGAGCGCAGCGAGGGTTGCGGGGATAAGCGAAAAAGGGGGAATGGGGGAAAAAGGGGGAATGGGGGAAAAAGGGGGAATGGGGGAAAAAGGGGGAATGGGGGAAAAAGGGGGAATGGGGAAAAAGCAACAAATTCGCGGGAGAAAAGGGGAAAAGGCGAGAGAGGAAGAGGCAACTGCCGGATCCAAGGCGAGGCAGACAAGGCGCAAGAGTGCCGGAATAGCAGCGGATCCACACAATGGGACCGCGATGGGAGAGGGGTTTAGGGCGGATCGCAAGGAAAATAAAGTAGCGACGTTGCCGGGGAGGGGGAGGAGGGGGGGAGAGGGGGTATGGGGCAGCATCGTTACTTTCCAACCAACGGCAGCGCGCCGCGGAACTGCGGAAAGGCGGGCCAAACCCGCGGAGAACCCCAATTCTTAGATAAGAGCGATCGCTACGCACTGAATTCGCCTACAAATCATCGCGAGCACTGGCTGGACGAGGTTGTAGGATCAACCGGACGCGCTAACCACAACAGCTCCAGAAGGAATTCGAGATTCCTCATCGGTACTGCGACGCAAGGAAATTCGAGATCGATTCGCATCGCACTGCATCCGCCTACAAATTCTCGCACGGAGATTCGAGATCTACGGTAGCCGGGACGACAGCTCCAAACCACATGCTGCTCCGAATCCCGAATCGCGCCTTGCTATCCTCACAAACAGCCGCGGTCTGTAAGTTGCGCATCGCGGTGCATCGCGGATGACGAAAGACGCGCGCTGCTATCCTCGCACACTGCTGCGGTCTCGGATCTGCAGTACACGCGACGCGTGACTTTCTATCCCCGGCCACGAATTCTCACATCTGGATCGCGCCTTTCTTATTCCTAGTCCTACCGCCAACAAAACTCTCTCACATCTTGACCGTCCCTTCATGCTTCAACCAGCTACCCGGCTTCTCACTTCGGGCCGATCCGGCTGAATCTCACATCTTGATGGTGCCGCGCGGGCCAAGGTTGGTCTTGAGCACGTCCTGCAGGCCCTTGGCGGCGTTGATGTTCATGTACAGCGCCGCCGACTTGCTCACCACCTCCGCGTTCGCATTTAACATGCGCACCGCCATGGTTTTGATTTCACCGCCTAGGCTCTCAGATTAGTTTCGGGAAAAAAAAAACCCCGTTTAGCGATCGAAACGGAGAGACCGACGGCGGTTTCGCGAGAAGAGAGGGTGCGCTGGTACGAGCTTGGCCGAGGGGATGCGATCGCGGATCCAAAGAAAACGCGGCCTGCGGAACCGAGTTTCTGGACTGGTCGGCAAGGATATACAGACGTTCGTGTGGGAAAGAAATCCGGCCAAGTTATGAGGTAGCGTGGCTGCGGGATACAAGAGACGCTAGGACGAGGGAAAGTGGATTCTGGTGCTCGTGGATCTGAAAGAAGCCGGCTTTGTTGCGATACTGCGCAACCGTTATAAGTTTGGGACATGTCACAATTATCTGAATGAGCAGTAGTTGGACAAGCATAAAAGCAGTCTTAGGTGATATATACCATGCCTAGTGCTCCGCAATTTTGGAGATGGTGATATGTATCCGCACATACCCAAATGGTGAACTTAAAAGCGTTTTTTTCATGTAGGCTGTTGAATCCGCACGCGGATGAAACTCTGTCATTTATGGATCAGGGGTGTTTTAATTCGCGCTAAGTAAATATCATATTCATATCTTCAAACGATTCATCAGTTCCATGCTTTAACGGAGTAGAGAAATGTAGGCAGTAACATTTTCACGAACAGCTTCCGAACCGAGAATTCACCGCGTTGTAACACTAGTTATACACTCTAAAACGCAGTACAACATAGCATACCGCTTTCAGCCTCTCTGAATGGTCGACCCTGAGGCTGTTCGTAATAAAAAATGTTACACGCCCTGAAGTCACGGCAGTTCTAAATCGAGGCATGACTGTGTTGAGAGGGTGTCCGAAGTAGCACAGATGGGACGTTACAGATGTTGAAAGAGAGTTACCACTACTGTACACGCTACAGTTCCGATTTCCGGGACGGCCGAAGTAGGGCTTCCGAAACCCAGTAGTCGAACTTGAAGTCACACTGTGTTGTTTCAACAACGTGGGCAGCCCAGAAATTATGCCACAAAACCCGTAGGGCACCCACCGAACCAACGGGTACTCGCGAATGTCCTGCTGGTCGTTGGGAGGGGAAAGGTTCGCAAGTGAATGTGTTGCTGAGTTTTTGCTGGCTTGGCGACCCTCGTGAATTGCATTTGCGAATCAGGACGTCAATGTTCACGCATCGTCCCAAATTCGGCTGGATCGAGATTTTGTGACGTGGTAACTTTAATATGCTGACGGATCCCATTTATTCGCTTGCCCGGTCGGAAAACTTTCCATCGTATTTCATCTTGGGCAGACTTGTGCGAGTGAGCATGTCCGAAGTTGGGGTTTGCGTCTGGTGTGATGTCCGCATTTGACGTCGAGCTTTGCGGGGTAAGTTGACGTCAGCTAAGCTTAGCGGGCGTCAACTCCCTACTTCAGACATTCCCTGAGAACATCCATCCACCATCTCCACCACACCACCAGTGTCAACGTGCTTCCTTTCCCCAATTTCCGCCTCAGCAGTAACCTTCCGAGATCCTCCGTTCTGCCGTCGCGTCGCCAGCTCTTTTGCGCTGCCGATTCGTCGCGAGGCAGCACAATGAGCGCTCGGCGTGCTCTTTCTCGCTCGCTCGACCAGGTGGTGCGATGCCCTCCTCCTCCGCGGCGTGCCCTTCCCGCCTTCTTCGCCCTCCCTACCGCGACTCCCCGTTGCGCCTCCCTCTTCGTCTCTCGGCTATTCCTCCCCGCGTTTTCTGCTTTCCCCGCCTCATCTCTCCCTCGCCGCTTGTTTTCGCCGCTCATCTCAAGCTACTTCGTTGACTCGTTTGCTGCATGGCTTTTTCCTGTCGTCGGTTTCGCGTCGCTTGCTTGGGTCTCCCTTGTAACGCCTCTTGAACGACGCACCGGTTTCAACCGCCGCTCGCTGCGATATGCAAGTTAACGATGCAATCTGTCAGTGCTTTGCTTTTCAGGGACACTTTGCAGTTAGCGATCTAGTGAATTGCCCTATCCATCTCCACGCACACTCACGTGAACTTTATCCCCGCTAGCATCCACGCCGCCTGTCTTTCTTTCCCCCATCCCCATCCGCGTGAGGAGTCTATTTTTGAGGCGCCTCAAAAATAGATTCCCCCATCCCCATCCGCGCCTCAAAAATTGATTCCCCCATCCCCATCCGCGCCTCAAAAATTGATTCCCCCATCCCCATCCGCGCCTCAAAAATAGATTCCCCCATCCCCATCCGCGCCTCAAAAATTGATTCCCCCATCCCCATCCGCGTTTGGCCTCCATGCATGAGATCACATGATCGCATCGCCAACCACCGCCCGCACTCGCCCTCTCCGTGCCCCCGCTAGCATGCAGGCCGGGCGTCTCTCTCCCGCCATCCGCGCCACCACGGCGCCACCATGGCCACTACCGCGTTCACCTGCGTTGCCACATTCGCTTCCACGGGCACCATCAACCTCGCAGCTGCAGTCCTCTCGCTCGCTCTTCAGTCCCGCACACGCTCATGCCGGCATTCCCAAGGGTTTCACCAATGCTGCTCGCGACGCTGCCACGTGGCAAGCGCCCGGGGGTTTGGCGGCTGGCATCAGGCAGCATGCTGAAGCGCTCGCCCTCTCGTGGCGGGCACGTGTGGGGTCGGGCCCCAGGCTGCCTTGGGGACCCCTTCTGCCACGTGGCAGCGGCTCGTTGGCTGCTCCTGCCTTGTGGAAGGGGCTTTCTCTTGGCGGTATGTCTTTCAACAGTCGCATTCTGCAAGCGTCTCGGTGCTCCTCACCCTGTCGTTTTGCATGCCATGCAAATCTATGCCTGCCACTTCCTCCATCCTCCCTCTCCTCCCTCTCTTCCCTCTCCTCCATGCTTCCCCTGTGTGTCTCCCCGCTTCCCCTGTGTGTCTCCCCGCTTCCCCTGTGTGTCTCCCCGCTTCCCCTGTGTGTGTCCACCGCGTTTCTCTCATCTCCCTCATCCCTCGTTGGATGGCAGCTCTCCAGCTGTTCCACTCATCCGCCCTTCACTCCTGCTATTCGCCCTTCACTCCTGCTATTCGCCCTTCACTCCTGCTATTCGCCCTTCACTCCTGCTATTCGCCCTTCACTCCTGCTATTCGCCCTTCACTCCTGCTATTCCCCGTCCACTCCTCTTCCCCTGGCAGTGAGCTGCGCAGCAGCGGCCTCTGCTGCCCTGCTGCCCTCCACGGCCGCCACGTGCGATGATGGTGAGTCAACGTGGGGATGAGGTGAGGTGGGTGGGGGTCACCAATGGGAGGGTCCGGAGGGATGGAGTGAGTTGAGGCGTGGCAGTGGGGACAGCAGCTGCCCCGCGGATCTTCACAGCTGCCACGTGCGACGATGGTGAGTCAACGTGGGCATGACGTGAGGAGGGTGACCAGTGGGAGGGATGGAGTGACTTGAGGCGCGCCAGTGGGGGCAGCAGAGAGGCAGACGCAGCGTCTGCTGCCCTGCACCCCTCCAAAGGTGCCTCTTGCGATGCTGGTGCGTGGCAAAGAGAAGGGAGGTTTCACGAAGGGGGGAGGGAGGTGAGACGAAGGGGGGTGGGAGGTGAGACGAAGGGGGGTGGGAGGTGTGACGAAGGGGGGTGGGAGGTGAGCAGGAGAGGGGATGGCGGTAATGAGGGGGGGATACAGGCTGTACGAGCAACGGAGCAGCCTGTGCTGCCGTGCTGTCGTCCAAGGCTGTGAGCAGCGATGATGGCGGGCAATCCAGGCCGGGATGGCGCAACAACAACAGGGGGACGACAGGGCAGTAGACTGCCATGGGAGTTTGCATGCGTAGGTGGTGTGGTGAGTTACGATGTAATTTCGTGATCATGAATGGAGCACTCGCAGGCAGAGGTGAAGCGCGGTGGCGGTGCTGGAAGAGAAAGGAGGGATGCGCTGAGACAAGAGAGGCACAGGAGCTGTCAAAGGGCTCAAGACAAGGAAGTGTCATCAGCACTGCCTGCCTGCCAGCCAGTGCCAACGTCAATTACTAGCCACTACCATCGCCCCTTTCATTGCCCCATGCCTGTGCATCTTTCCATCATTCCCTTGTCCGTCAACTCACCTCCGATGGCTCCCATTCCCCTGCCTCCTCCTCTCCCCGTCAGATTCCTTAGTCCCACCCTCCTCATCCCCCCACCCTCATCCCCCCACCCTCATCCCCCCACCCTCATCCCCCCACCCTCATCCCCCCACCCTCATCCCCCCATCATCCTCACCCCCCCCCGCTCATCCCTTTCTAGCAGCCATTCATGACATCATCTGGCCGCCGCAGCACTCCTCTCTCTCTCCTGCGCTCCCCCTCTCTGTCCCCTCCCGCCCTCTCCCCCCTTCTTTGCTCCCCTCATCGCCCCCTCTCTATCCCCTCCCCCTCATCCCCCCTGCTCTCCCCTCCTCCCCCCCCCCTCTTCCCCTCTACCACCCAGCACCGTTCACGCCACCCTCTCCTAGCGGCAGCGACGACGACGTGGGCTCTCTCCCCGACCTGCTGCGTGCGCTCATCGCCCTCGTGTGGCCGCTGCTCGTGCTGCTCGCATCCTTCTTTGCCCTCAAGGACGACCCGATGGTGTCTGCTGCCAACCTCGCTGTGCTCTGCTGGGGCCTCAGGCCCGATGAGGAGAGCCTTCAGATTTGGCTGGAGCAGGTGAGATTTGGAGCGGGTGAGATTTGGATCGGGGAGGTTGAAGGAAGGTCTGGCCACCTCTGGTGCTGCTGCGTCGCTCTTGGCCCTCAGGGACGACGCGATGGTGTCTGCCGCCAACCTCGCCCTGCTCTGCTGGGGGCTCAGGCTCGATGAGGAGAGCCTTCAGACCGGGCTGGAGCAGGTGAGGTATTGAGTGGGTTATGTGCCTTGCCACTTGAGGATTTCTGAAGGCCGCTGCTGGCGTCGTTCTTCGTGCCCTCAGGGACGACCCTCTCCTGTCTGCCGCCAACCTTGCCCTACTCTGCTGGGGCCTCAGGCCCGACGAGGAGAGCCTTCAGATCTGGCTGGAGCAGGTGAGGCCTGCCCTGCAGCAGGTTAGCCTCGCCAGGTGAGGGTTTAGGAAGATCTAGCCACTTCTGGAGCAGGTTAGAACTGGAGCAGGTTAGAACTTGAGCAGGTTAGAACTGGAGCAGGTTAGAACTGGAGCAGGTTGGAACTGGAGCAGGTTAGAACTGGAGCAGGTTAGAACTTGAGCAGGTTAAGCATCCTCAGCTTAATTCTAAGGAAGATCTAGCTAGCCACTGCTCGCCCTGCCGGGCATGTCTGTTGCCCACCTGGCTGTGCCCTGCTGGGTGCTACAACCTGATGAACAGAGCCTGCAGGGCTGGTTGGAGCAGGTGAGATCTGGAGCAGTTGAGATGCGGAGCAGCTGAGGTATGATGAAGGTCTCTCCGCAGCTAACCTCCCTGTTCTGTTCGCTCTGCGGACGAAAGTAGTCGTGTCTGCTGCCCGCCTCGCTGTGCTCTGTTGGAGGGTCAGGCCCAGTGAAGAGAGGAAGAGAGCCGGCAAGGCTGGCTAGCGCAAATGAGATCTGGACTCTGGGGCAGGTGAGATCTGGACTCTGGGGCAGGTGAGTTCTGGACTCTGGGGCAGGTGAGTTCTGGACTCTGGGGCAGGTGAGTTCTGGACTCTGGGGCAGGTGAGATGTGGACTCTGGGGCAGATGAGGCCTGGGCTGGTGGGTCTTGGGAAGGTGGCTCTCGCATGCCCCCTGCTTCCTGTAAGGACCAAGTGGGTGGTTATGCTGCTGTTGCTGTTATGTCTGCCACTGCCACTGCCACTGCTACTGCTAATGCTGCTGCTACTGCTGCTGCTGCTTCGACTGGCGCTGCCGCTGCTGCTGCCGATGGATTGGTGGAGAATGCTGTGTTGGTCATTCTTGCTGTGCGCCCTTCCCAGTCTCTGCCACTCTCACTTTCCTTGTGTTCGCTCACTCTTGTGCTCTGCTGTGTGCTGCCTGTGTTGGAGGATGCTTGCATGCATGGGTGCGGTGCGCTTGCATGGATGCGTGCTGCCTGTGCATGCTGTGTATGTGGGAGCATGCTTGCATGATGGGGGCTTGTGCCTCTTGCGGGTATGATGCGTTTCTGCATACTTGCGTGCATGTTGTGCGTGTGTGTGTGCTGGTGTGTGTGTGCTGGTGTGTGTGCTGGTGTGTGTGCTGGTGTGTGTGCTGGTGTGTGTGTGCTGGTGTGTGTGCTGGTGTGTGTGTGCTGGTGTGTGTGCTGGTGTGTGTGTGCTGGTGTGTGTGTGTCCTGGTGTGTGTGTGTCCTGGTGTGAGTGTGCTGGTGTGTGTGTGCTGGTGTGTGTGTGCTGGTGTGTGTGTGCTGGTGTGTGTGTGCTGGTGTGTGTGTGCTGGTGTGTGTGTGCTGGTGTGTGTGTGCTGGTGTGTGTGTGCTGGTGAGTGTGTGTGGGTGTGTGTGTGTGGGTGTGTGTGTGTGGGTGTGTGTGTTGGTGTGTGTGTTGGTGTGTGTGTGTTGGTGTGTGTGTGGGTGTGTGTGTTGGTGTGTGTGTGCTGGTGTGTGTGTGCTGGTGTGTGTGCTGGTGTGTGTGCTGGTGTGTGTGCTGGTGTGTGTGTGCTGGTGCGTGTGTGTGTGTGTGTGTGTGTGTGGGTGTGAGTGTGTGGGTGTGTGTGTGTGGGTGTGTGGGTGTGTGTGTGTGTGTTGGTGTGTGTGTTGGTGTGTGTGTGTTGGTGTGTGTGTGTGGGTGTGTGTGTTGGTGTGTGTGTGTTGGTGTGTGCATGTGGGTGTGTGTGTTGGTGTGTGTGTGTTGGTGTGTGCGTGTGGGTGTGTGTGTTGGGGTGTGTGTGTTGGTGTGTGTGTGGGTGTGTGTGTTGGTGTGTCGCAGAAGCGGAGCGAGGAGCTGAAGGACAAGAATGGGCTAGACTGGGCCAAGTCTCAGGTGACGTGCTGCCGTGCTGCCGTGCTGGATTCACTGGAAAGGCGCGGTGTGCCATGGCGCATCGCTGCATGGCATGCTTGCTTGATCAAAGGACGTGCTCGAAGCATCGTGCCATTCTGCCTTTTCTCAAACAGCCTGCACTGGATGTCATACTCATGAAGTTGTTCCTTTTTGTATTACTCTCATCGATTCTCCTATGATTCCGCATGGTGTTTGCTCCACATGTCCTACATGCACTGCACATGTGGCCCTTTGTGTGACATGGCCATCGCAAATACATAGCACATTATGCCAACGTTCCTTGATGTTTTCTATCCCGTTTTTTCCTGTGCTGGCAGGTGATGGGAGCTGTGGTGAAGGTCGAATATACCGACTACTGGTTCTTCTCCCTCGCTAAAGTGTCATCCCTGACAAGCAGCTACACTGTAGTCGGCATCCTCAATAACTGGTTCACTGTTGCCACCACCAAGCAGTCCCTGCAGTTTCCAGGTCTCAGAGACCGAGACTCTGAATACTGATCCAAAGCTCGCGTGTTTATGGAGAACCCAAGTTACCAGCTTTGATGGTTCTACCTCAGCACTACTTAAGTGGTGGTGACACAGTTCAGAGCGTCCGATTACAAAATGCTATCATATAATTTTATAGTCGACTGTGGACGTGTCGATGTAGTATAATGGTCAGTATCTCCGCCTGTCACGCGGAAGATCCGGGTTCGATCCCCGGCATCGGCGTTTTAATGAGGGAGAGATTGTTTCACACATGGGAAGAGCAATGTGTTGAAAAAAGTTGAAGAGTTAACTAGGCATAGGACATGGCGATAGGTTTTAGCTAGTGAGACAAATTGACGAGAGAAAAGGGGGTCGACTAGGAAGAGAGTGTCGAATTATATATATTTATTTAGGCTTGATAATTGTGCTACATTGATGGATCCTACTGTAGAGGGGACAATCCTGTTGAAGTAGCTAGGTAGCTAGGGAAGCCATGGAAATGGCGTGAGGTTTTAGGTTGGAGAAATATATCGAGAGAGAAGAGGGATTGGATTCGAAGAGAGAGGGATACAAGAAGGGGGGTTGTACCTTCTACAATAGGATTCAGTAACACCTACCAAGCCTACACTTATATATATAATTTAATACACCCCCTAGGCTTGGTAGCCGAAAGCATACAAAGCCACACACCCCCTAAGCCTAGCACCTCCATACTCAGCAGCAGGGACGGCTACTCGAGCATGATCAACCCCTCGGCGTGTAAGGCGGCGATATCGACAGCGAGGGCAGCGGCTGCAACGGCGGCGACGGCATCAGCATCGACAGCGGCGGCGGCGGCGGCTTCGACAACAGCTGCGGCGGCAACGGGGCTCGCAACACTCGGCGACGTGACCGGGCTCCGCGACGATGGGACGGCCGACGCGGGTCAACCGTCGACTGCGGCGAAGAAGAGGGGGCGCATGGGAAGGGGGCGGGGCTTTAGCAGAGGAGCCCTGTGTCAACTTATACATATATTTGTATGTATAAGTTATAGGCTAGATAGGTGTGTATTCTTAGAGGGTACAACTCCAACCCTAAATCTCATTTGTTCTTCCCCTATTTCTAGTCATTCTTGTATTCTAACATGGTATCAAAGTAGGTTAGGTCCGCCCACCCGCTTCCGCCCCTCGCCCTAGCCTACAGTCCCGTTGCACCCTAGCCTTACCGCGCCCCACCGGCCCCTAGCGCCCCGCCGGCCCCTGGCTCACCTCGCCGGCCCCTAGCGCGTCCGCCGGCCCCTAGCGTACCCGCCGGCCCATAGAGTACCGCCGGCCCCTCGCGCACCTCGCCGACCCCTAACGTGCCCACCGCCCCTGAAGCGCCGCACCGGCCCCTCGCGTACCCCGCCGGCCCCTAGCGCACTGCCGACCACTTAACGTCCCGCCGGCCCCTTAACGTCCCACCGGCCCCTCCCGCCTAGCCGTCCCCTCGCACCTAGCCGGCCCCTTGCGTGCTCGCCGGCCCCTCGCGTACTCGCCGGCCCCTTGCGTACCCTGCCGGCCCCTCGCGCACCCGCCCCGCCCCTCGCGCGCCTCGCTGGCCCCTCGCGCTCCCGCCGGCTCCTCGCGTACCTCGCCGGCCCCTCCCATGCCCGCCAGCCCTTCGCGCCTCGCTGGCCCTTCGCGCCTCGCCGGCCCTTAGCACCTCGCCGTCCCTTCGCGGCCCGCCGGCCCTAGACGCCCCGCCGGCTCCTCAAGCGCCCACTGGTCCACTGGCCCCAGCGCTCCGCCGGCCCTTTGCGCCCTGCCGGCTTTGCGCGCCTTGGGCCTTGCGCGCCTCGGGCCCTTCTCGGCCTTTCGCCCGGTTTTCCCGCCGGAGAGTCCTGCCGCCACGCCGCTGTGCCGCCATGCTGCTGAGTACCTGTGCCGCTGTGCCGCCGTGTCCACGTGCCGCTATGCCGCCGTGACGCTGTGCCGCCGTAACGCTGTGCTGCCGTGGACCTGTGCCGCTGAGGTTGCACGATGGCGGACGCCGTACTTCGCTTGGACGCGCCACGTCGGCGCATCGTGATAGTTTCTCGCATGGCGTGGCTGAACGCTCGGGTAGTGGTGCCTAGTGCGACGACCATCGATGCCAGCATGCCTGTAACTCGGGCCAGATGTCGGACTGGGACTTTCTGTTGGGCTTCGCTTGCGCGCAGTAGGGCCTGGAGGGTGGCGTTGAGTGTGGCTCGCCGCTCGTCGCCGTTGGAAAATCGGCCGGTCTTTGTGTCGAGTTCTACGCCTAGGAACCGAAGGTGCTGTGTTGGTATCAGCTTGGACTTCTTCGAGTTGAGTACGAGCCCTGCGGCTTTGAGGTTGATAATTACCCGCTGGCATGTAGCTAGAGCGTGTGCCTGGGTTGAGCACAGAAAGAGGATATCATTCACGTAGGGTATCACGCGGACCCCCTGCTCCCACCATCGCCTCGCTAATTGCTTGATAAGCTGCGTGAAGACGAATGGAGCTGTGGCAAGGCCGAACGGTAAGGATCGGAAGGCATACGTGCGCCCGTCGAATTCAAAGCCGAGGAACGTCTAGCACAACGGGTGGATGTCGACATGGTGATAGCCCAATTTCAAGTCGATGGCGAACATCCAATCTCCTTGGCGGGCGAGGTCTGCCCCCCGTTTGAGTCCCTCATATTTAAACTTGGGGACGATTAGTGCGTCGTTCACCTTATGCAGATCCAGAATACGGCGGCACTTGTCTTTCTGCTCGACCACGTTGAGAGGGCTTATGCATCTCAGTTGCGCCGCTGGTATTTGCACAACCGCACCAGTCTCAGTGAGTTCAAGGATGGCCGTGCGCGTGAATGTTTCGTGTAGGTGTGCGCCGGCGTGGTTGCGATCGTGAAAACCTAGTGGCGGCCCAAGTTTCCATGGCATCCAATATCCTTTGGCAATGACGGAGAGGATGAAAATGCTAGTGCACCACGAGCTCCACCAAGCGAACGTGGTACGTAGGCGGCCACACATCTGGATGACCATCTTGTCAGTAACCACGTATTCGTAGGGGTCACCATTGTGTGCGTGTTCGTGAAACCGAGTGCCTGTGGGGGTGACATTATGCATGGCGAAGCAAGGGACAAAAGCTTAAGTTCGTATGCAAGGCCAATGTCTGATGGGACCAGCGTGGAGGGAGAGTGTGAAAGCCTAGTGGCTAAGGAGGGCGTGCCGATCTGAGACGCAATCTGCGAGCGGAGATGCTTGGGTAGGCCGCCTGCCCTTGAGCGATTCTAATCGGTCGTGATCAGCATGTTTGTCAAGTTGCGCGTCCGCACATGCCGAGCTTGCGTTCGAGCCTGCGCCCCGATGTTTGTGCATGACTTTCCCCTTATTTTCCTTCCCTTTTTGCCCTCGTATTCCCCCTATTTGTGCTTTCACCCGCGCTTCTACTCCCATGTGCATGTTTCCGTCTATTGACTTATTTCACTTGCATGATCATTTCTTGGGTTTCAAGTCTCAACACCCGTGCCCCCTCCTTTCTTTCCTCTGGCCACCGCTTGCTCACATACTCGTATGGCATGCTTGCAAGGCGTTTGTTGCTTTCCCCCATTCGTGGGCCATATCGCGTGCATGCTTTCGTCATGCGTTTTTTTTTATTTTTTTTTTTTAGGTTGGCCAAACTAGGCAGCCCCGGAGGAGGTTGGTGTGGCTGCTCTTGTATGCCCACAGAGGGGTGGCTCTTAGCATCCTGGGTGTAGCACAACTAGGTTGGAGGGTAGGCCTCTTGTGAAGCTCACATGATGCTCGATAACGGTTTTTGTTTTTTGTTTTTGTTTTGCTTGTTTGTTTGTTTGTTTGTTATTTTTTTTCACATGTCCAACCGATGAATGCTGTGTGAGGGTGATTGGCGGCCCATTTGTGTTCCCGATGGCCTCCCTTCTCTGGCCGGGGTTGCTGCCTGATATGTTGCGAGGGTTGAGCCACCCATTATGCTTCCCCCGTTTCGCACCTCTTTAAAAACCCCCTTCTCCCCCGTGGTTTTTTTTTTTTGCTGCACCTCTTTTGGTGCTGCTTTCCCATTTCTCTGGTTGTGTTCTAGGACTAAGAACTTCCAAAAAAAGAGGGCCACTGCTCCTCATTTTGAATCAAAATACATCGCTACTCAACCATGCTCCTAGGCATGCAAAATCCGCCCCGCAAAGTCGGGCCATCACTTGGGACCGAGGTGGTATATTCCCCTTCCCTTGATCTGAGCCTAGGGCCCTTAAATGGCCTACACTAGGGCTGGCTCTCCGCCACCCGTGCCCCCATGGGGTGGGCCCAATGGCCTACGCACACACCGGGTGCATTGAGCCTTGCGCCACTTTGCGCAAGCGCCAATGGCCCGACCCCTACACCACGAGTGCGGGTCCTTGGCCACCATGCCCATTTACCGAGCAGCTGCTGGCAACATGCCCCGGCTGGCCACAGCGGAAGCAAGTGCCTCGGAAGCCGCGGAACTCTCCCGTAGGCGGCAGACCACGCTTGGGCGCGAACGACATGGGCATGCGGCCGCCTCCGCGATTGCCGCGAGCAAAAGCACCCTCGGCGTGATCCATTGCAGCCACGTCAGCGACGGCCTATTTGAAGGGCCTGGAGGTAAGCAGGCTCTTCTGATGGTACAGCTTGAAGCGCTTGGCCGTGCGGAAGTCGGAGGCGTCCTCGACTTGGAGGAATTCAAAGCGCCGCGATATGAGGGCGAGCGCGTCGGCGAGGAATTCGAGGCCCCCTGGCGCGTCGCCATGCTGCACCTTGAACTCCGCGTGCTTCAGGTAGGCCCAAAGTTCCTCCAGGACTTCTGCTTGCTCACGCACAACCGCGTTGAAGAAGGACGCCGCCAAGAGGGTGGGGTTAGTGGACGGGAGGGGTGGGAGGTGATCCATGGGAATTGAATTTGCAGCGGTGCTGAGGACCTCACCAGCGTCATTGTCGGAGTCGTCACTATCGTTGTCAGTAGCCGGGGCAGGCAGGATGCTGGCGACCATGTCTTTGTCGAGGCATGGCGTCTTGATTCCATGTGCGGCCTTTTCGTTTTTTGCACGTTCCTTTTTAGCAGATGCGGAAGCAGCAGGTTGGGCTGTTTCTGCGGCCGTAACACTCGATGCATGCTGCTGTAACAGAGTCAGCAGCACGTTGACCTGCGTAGGGGTCAATGAGGGGGTCAAGGTCATGGTGGGTGGCGCGTCAGACGAGGCAGCCGC